GGAGTTGCAATAGCCATTCTTCAAAACAGCGTCCGAGTCCAGAGAATCCGAGTCCCTGGTAAAAGTAATGCAAAACGAAAACGTGTATTACCGGTATGCGTGGTTTTCAAACAGACAATCACGTCCACGCACATACGAAGTTTGTGAATATTAAAAGTTGAAAACAACACAAAAACTTTTTTTTTCTTCTTCACAATGATAAGATAAACACAAAAGGGGTTATTTTTTAAATAGCAATGTCTTAATTAATTAATTTTATTTGTGAATGTGGGCGAATCTCCGGGTGAATCCGTATTCCATCATACTTGGCGTTCAGAATTCCTTCGCAAATATTGTTTGCTTTTGATGTTTTTTGCAAATTGTTTTTTTTATATTTATCATGATGTCTAAATGCATGAAGCGATCAAGATTGTGAGAATACAATCATATATACTCATACAATAAAGCAGAGAACTATAAGAAAAACATACTATATATATATATATATATATATATATATATATATATATATATATGTATATTATTATTACCATAGCGTTCGCGTTAGTTCACATGCCGTTGCACTTTTGTTTGATATCAAACAACTTGCATGTTTAGGGTCGAGATTATAAACATATATTACAGGAATTTTATAAATAGATTGTTTACTTATTGCATTTATTAGTCGTAACTTCGTAAGGCACATCCCTGTAATCACGTGATCGTGCCAAATTCTGCAGCGATTCAAGTTTCAAAGTTGGCTGATCGCATGTAATTTTTATGAAAAAAGTACGAGAGCAGTGGACGGCGGTGAGTTACCTCAGCTGACCGTTTGAATGAATTAAGATAGACTATCTGTAATCATAGACCCTCCAGTAGAGGGTCTATGCTGTAATGAACTAATTTGTATTCCTTGGATCGAATCTGGTATCTCGACGTGTAAGCACGGTTACTAGTAAGTGTTATCAGTTACAAACCCCCGAACACAAAGACAGTGTTCACTATATTGTTCTCAAATTAATGCCGATTAAAAAGCAGTTACGTCAGTTAATAAAATAATTTACAGGTTTTAATGGGATTGGAATGTGCAAAACTTGTATATTATGAAAGAGGATAAATTGGATTACATGGATATTGAAAATGCAAGGAAAGTTGTTTCGGGTAAACAACAGAAAGCTGTTAGTGGGAATCTCATCTTCACCTATGATTACAAAATTATTGAGTGACTTTGTCAATGAATGTTTAGATATTCGGAAAGAGAAAACAAATCAAATAATTTGGAACAATGAAAAAATGATGGACAATAATAAGATATATTTTGATCATTCCAGGTAAAAAGATATGTTAAGGTGGCGCTGAACTATGGTTTATAGGAATTTTAAACAATAATACGCTACTAACAAGTACGTTAATTTTGTCATGTTATATACCATATGAGTGTTAGATCTCTATGTCGAATATGATGTGATACCCTGGCAAACTATAGGCCAACCCCACGATATCGCCTCGAAAGACATCACGACCTTGCCCCGAAGGCGCGACCTTACTAGGGAGTCCGGGGCATGCGCCCCCTCAATTTGGAAATCTAGACCCTCTGAAACGCTATTTCCTGCATTTTGAGGTGCAAATTTTGCTGACACAAAGGGTTTCGGCTCGTTTTTAGTTACTATGGTTTTTGTGTCACGGTGGAAATTGTACTTTTTTGATAAAAAAAAAATAAAAAAAAAAAAGGTTTTAGCTAGATTTTGGAGGCGACGTCCCCAACGTTTTTTTCAAGGGGGGGGGGCATCGCCCCTCTGCCCTCTTGTGCCGCCGCCACTGCTGTGTCATGAAAAGCAAAACTGTTTTGAAACATCGTTTTACCATCGTTTAAAAACTGTTGACTGGTCCATGTTTTCCCGTGAAAATGTGCTCATAAAGTAACATGATTTGTCCAGATTGGCATTTATCTTTACGATAAATTTGTGTTTCAATATATCATCTCATCATTACCACAATTGTCCCGTGACATCTAACGATCTTTAAAAGATGAGGAGCTTTTATAAGCCGCCGGATCATGCTAGAAGATGAAAATCTTCTTTGACGCCCTCAACGACAACAATGCGTACTGCGATAATACCGCCACGTTTTCTGTATTTCCACTTCTGTTTGTAGGTTTACGTTTTCTATAATATGTCCACGATGACTTCACATGCCATCCGACATTTATTATATATTTTCGTGAAATATTCTGTGAATACGCGTACAAATGGAAATCAGATATGTGTCTAACAAGTCCCAGACATTTATTCAAATTTAAATATTTACCAGTATAAGATGAAAGTTATCTTATAAATCCGCGTTCAATTATAATATCAAATCAATTTCAAAATATGCCAAGACATGTTTTTCAGTATATTTAAAACACACATACAACAAAAAATGTCTGCGATGAAAAAAGTTTATTGTTACTGATATGAACCTTCGGGTTTAGGGAAGCGAAGTTGTAATAGTCAGTGTTAACGAGACTCAACAAATTCACACTTAATTATAATTTATTGAATTTGCAGCGTGATTATATGTTTACCATTTTTATCCAGGTGAAGTTCTATCCCATAAGACATTGCAAATATATCAAGTAACATAATAGTTTGAGTTGTATTATGAAGCCTGGGTGTTAATAAAATTAGTAGCATATATACGATCATACGATCATAATCGTTTTCGTGGTTTAAATCTTGGTTGGTTTTATCTTCGGTTAGCGCCCTAGCAGCCCAGGAAAGCACTTTCGGCGATTTGAATTTTTGGCACAATAAATCATATTCAATCAAGTTATTAAGAATATTAACGGGTAAATCTCAGAATGATATAGTGAACATTTTCTATGTAGTTGAGGGTCTGTACATTTTTAGAAAAATCCGATGAATGAATGAATGAATCTACAAAGTGAATACCGTAAAAATAAGAATAAAATAAAATAAAAAACGCGCCGCTGGACAATAATAAATAACTTTGAATAGTGTCATTAGGAATGAATTACTCGGTCATATTTCAAATTACTGGGACATCAATAATGCTATGTTGCCATGACAACTATCTTGACTGATTGGAAAATTGTCGTTGATGCACAATTTGTAGCGATACTGTCAGTCTGTACAATCACGACAATCAGGACCAAAATTGTGTAATTAAACTATCGCCATGGAGATATATATTCCAGATACTATGTTCAGCTTCAGACGTCGGTGACTCGTCTCTCACGACTGACTGTGACAGAACAGTGAAATGTGAGTAAATGTCATATACCTTTTAGAATTGTTATGGGGAAATGATGACGAATGCTGCTCCACTCAACATGAAATTCTGTCCTCCGCGACCGAAATATTGAATAAATATTTATTAAACTGAACTTTAAAAAGGACTTATAGTATGTTTGAAATACGAAAATCGTTGACTTTTAAAGTACAATGCAAGTGTACACATGATGTCATTGCCGAGGCTAGCGACATGACATGGAGCGATATGACAATTGTGCAACAATATCTACATAATGGTATCTACAACAACGCAGATGAAACTTAAAACCGGCGTCTACTCTTTATTATATTCACATTTAATGTATTTTAGACTATAAAAAACAATTCACCATGGTATTATAATTATATTTATTGTACCACGTCTTTTGAAGAATGAAAACAACTTTCAGCAAGATAGACGTCTACATGGACTGGTAATATCAGTTAAATTGGATGCACTTGTTTTGTACGTAGTGGTTGTTACTTCACTGATTGAACATTCGGTAATTCCCGATCATCATAATAATAACCAACGTCTGGACTGTGATTGTCGTGATTTTTGATGGCAAAAAAATAAAAGGCGGGCTTTTTGCAATAGCGAGCGAAGTGAACTATTCCAATGCCACTTGTAAGTTTGGCTGTTTTTATCGCATAGTCATAGATACGCCCACAGTCCCTTTATCACTGTTGTACGTTCTTGTGAGGGTCGACGGGAGTTACTGCGCCCTCACCGACGGATTCATTAGTAAAGCGGACGTCGGGTCAGCGAGGGCGCAGCACACTTGCAGACGATTAATGTAATCGAACATTTGAATGTCACTCAGGTCCAGCCTGAGCAATCTTTTCTTTAAAAACTATGATTAAAGATAATGAGAAATTGAAACTAAAATGTGTTCAAACTATTTACATTAAGAGGTTTCAAGTTTCAAGTTTATATGTATCATATATTAAAGTGTTTCCAGGGTATTTCAATGAAGACATA